CTCTCTCTGTAACTCTGACTTTCAAAAAAATAAATAATTTTTTTTTAAAAAAAAGGAAAATGTAAGTAATTATCCTAAGCTCACATACAAAATTGAGTGCTTCTATTAGAATTTGAAGCTTGGGATTTGTGAATTGAGTCAGTTAAAGGATAGCTTGGTAAGGAGGGGTGCTAGCTACCAGCCTCTACATAAGTTCCACTAGTTTGCCCTAAATTTTCCCAAATAAATGTACAATCGAAAAGAAAACACTGGGGGCCGGCGCCACGGCTCAATATTCTAATCCTCGGCTTGCGGCGCTGGCACACCGGGTTCTAGTCCTGGTCAGGGCGCCGGATTCTGTCCCGGTCATTCCTCTTCCAGTCCAGCTCTGCTGTGGTCTGGTAGTGCAGTGGAGGATGGCCCAGGTCCTTGAGCCCTGCACCTGCATGGGAGACCAGGAGGAAGCACCTGGCTCCTGGCTTCAGATCAGTGCGGTGCGCCGGCCACAGCACGCTGGCCGCAGTGGCCATTGGAGGGTGAACCAATGGTAAAGGAAGACCTTTCTCTCTGTCTCTCTCTCTCACTGTCCACTCTGCCTGTCAAAAAATAAATTAATTAAAAAAGGAAAAAGAAAAGAAAACACTGGGCCAGTGCTGTGGCATAGCGGGTAAAGCCGCTGCCTGCAGTGCCCACATCCCATATGGGCGCCGGTCCGAGTCCCAGCTGCATCCACATGGGAGACCAGGAAAAGGCTCCTGGCTTCTGGCTCCTGGCTTTGGGTCAGCTCAGCTCTGGCCATTGCAGCCAATTGGGGAGTGAACCAGCAGATAGAGGACTTCTCTCTCTCTGCCTCTCCTCCTCTCTCTGTGTAACTCTTTCAAATGAATAAATAAATATTTTAAAAAATTTTAAAAAAAGAAACATAAAATTCTAAGAAAGCATAGGAGTAAATTGTGGTGGCCTGGACTTATGAAAGGTTTCTTAGATATGACATCAGAAGCACAAGTGAAAGAAAGAAAACACAGCTAAATTAGATTTCTTTACAATTAAAAAAAGGGGCTGGTGCTGTGGCCCAGCGGGTTAACGCCCTGGCCTGAGGCACTGGCATCCCATATGGGTGCCGGTTCTAGTTCCGGCTGCTCCTCTTCTGATCCAGCTCTCTGCTACGGCCTGGGAAAGCAGTAGAAGATGGTTCAAGTCCTTGGGCCCCTGCACCTGCATGGGAGACCCGGAAGAAGCTCCTGGCTTCGGATTGGTGCAGCTCCGGCCATTGCAGCCGTCTGGGGAGTGAACCAGCAGATGGAAGACCTCTCTCTCTGTCTCTACCTCTCTCTCTCTCTGTCTTTCAAATAAATAAAATATATCTTTAAAAAAATTAAATTAAAAAAATTTAAATCACCTAATTCATCTTTTTTTTAAAAGATTTTATTTATTTATTTGAGAGGTAGAATTGCAGACAGTGAGAGAAAGAGACAGAGAGAAGGGTCTTCCATCTGCTGGGTCACTCCCCAAATGGCAGCAACTGCTGGAGCTGCGCCAATCTGAAGCCAGGAGCCAGGAGCTTCTCCAGGTCCTCTATGCGCATGCAGGAGCCCAAGGACTTGGGCCATCCTCCACTGCCTTCCCAGACCATAGCAGAGAGCTGGATTGGAAGAGGAGCAGCCAGGACTAGAACCAACACCCATATGGGATGCCAGTGCCGAAGGCAGAGGATTAACCTGTGCCACAGCACCGGTCCCTAAAATTAAATATTTTTGTTCTATAAGAGACTAACAAGAAAGTGAAAGAAACCAACAAAATGAAAGAAATTATTTGCAAATCATGAATCTGATAAGCAGCTTTGTATTTAAAATATATAAGAAATTTTACTACTCAATAATAAAAAGAACTCAATTAAAATGAGAAGGGCCAGGTGTGTGGTGCAGCAGTCAAGACCCACTGGGGATGCTCCTGTCCCATATCAGATTCAAGTCCCAGGTCCACTTCTTCAAAAAAGATTATTGAGGCCAGTGTTGTGGCACAGCTGGTTAAGCTGCTGCCTGCAGTGCTGGCATCCCATATGGGTACTAGTTCAAGTCCCAGCTGCTCCACTTCTGATCCAGCTTCCTGCTAATGCATCTTGGAAAGTAGCAGAAGATGGCCCAAGTCCCTGGGCCCCTGCACCTCCATGAGAGACCTGGAAGAAGCTCTTGGCAGCTTGGTCATTGTGGCCATTTAGGGAGTGAACCAGTGGGTAGAAGCTCTCTCTCTCCTCTCTCTCTCTCTCTCTCTCTCTCTCTCTCTCTCTGTTTCTCTTTGTCTCTCTCTCACTCTACCTTTCAAATAAATAAATATATCTTCAAAAAATTACCATATTTATTCAACAGGCAGAGTGACAGGGAGTAGGAAACACAGCGAGAGAAAGAGGTCTTCCATCCACTGGTTCTCTCCCCAAATGCCCACAACAACCAATTCTGGGCCAAGCTGGAGCCAGGAGGCTGAAACTCCATCTGGGTCTCCCAAATGGGTGGCAGGGACTCAAGTACTTGGGCCATCCTCTGCTGCTTTTCCGGGCTCATTAACGGGAAGCTGGATCAGAAGCAGAGCAGCTGGGACTCAAAATGGCACTCTGAATATGGGATGTTGGCATCACACTTGTGATTCAAATTTCTTGCTAATGTATTTCCTGGCAAGCAGCAACTGATGGCTCAAGTACTTGGATTCCTGCTACCCATGTGTGGGAATCAGACGGAGTTCTAGGCTCCTGGTTTCAGCCTGGCCCAGCCCTGGCTATTGCCAGCATTTGGGAGTCAATCAGCAGATGGGAGATCTCTGTCTCTCTCTTTGTCTTTCAAACAAACAATAAGTAAATAAATAAATGTTTTAAATGAGAAAAAGATTTGTCTATGTATTTTTCCAATATACAAAAGGCCAATAAACATGTGAAAATATTTCCAACATTATTACTCATTAGGAAAATATAAATGAAAACAGCAGTGAGACTGCTAAAGTGTATGGGGTGTCTTTTGAGGGAGTGTGATGAAAAAGTTCTAAAGTTGGTGATGACCGCACAAATGTGAATGCACTAAAAATCATGGAATTGTACATTTTACATGGGTGAACATATGCAGGTCAATTATATCACAATAAAACTATTACAAAAAAAAGGCCCACAGTGATACTGCACTTTATACCTGTTGAAATAGAATAGAGATAGTTGGGCTGTCCCATATGGGCACCAGTTCAAGTCCTAGCTGCTCCACTTGTGATCCAGCTCTCTGCTATGGCCTGGGAAAGCAGCAGAAGATGGTCCAAGTCCTTGAGCCCCTGCACCCGCGTGAGAGACCAGGAAGAAGCTCCTGGCTCCTGGCTTTGGATGGTCCCAGCTCTGGCCATTGTGGCCACTTGGGGAGTGAACCAGCAGATGGAAGACCTTTCTCTCTCTCTGCCTCTCTGTAACTCTGTCTTTCTGATAAATAAATAAATCTTAAAAAGGGAGAGAGAGAGAGAGAGATAATAACAAGTACTGATGACTATGGTAGAAAAATTGCAGCCCTCACATGTTACAGTGTGATTGTAAAGTGTTGCCGTTGTTTTGGACAAAAGGTTGATAGTTCTTCAAAAGTTTCAACATGGGGTTGCCACAGGTAGCACTCACAGGTAGCCACTCAAGAAATGAAACCATGGATACACAACAGCTTGTATATGGATGTGCATGGTGGTAGGATTCATGATAGCCCCAAAGCAGGAATAATCCAAATGTTCCCGGATGGATGAATGCATAAACAAAATGTGTTGTATCTGTGCAGTGAGCGTTATCTGGCAATATGAAGGCATGAAGTTGTAGACAACATAAGTGAATCTTGAAAGCATGAGCCAAAGTGGAAGGGGTCAGATACAAAGGCCCATACATTGTGTCATTACACTTGAATGAAATGTCCGGAAGGAGCAAATCCATAGAAGCAGAAAGTAGACGAAGGGTTTTCAGGGGCTGGAAGGCTGCGAGGGAATAGGGAGTGACTGCTAAGGGGCATAGGGCTTCTTTGTATGGTGGTAAAAATGATCTAAAACTAGTGATGCTTGCACCTCTGTGATATACTAAAAACCATGGACTTGTACATTTAAAATGGCAAATTCTGTGTTCTAGATCAATAACCCATTATTAAATTTTTAAAATCATAAACATAATAGTGTAAGTACTACAAATTAGAATAGCAGTTAAAGTTAAATAGTGTGGGGCCAGCGCTGTGGCGTAGCAGGTAAAGCTGCTGCCTGCAGCGCCTACATCTCATATGGGCACCGGTTCAAGTCCCCACTGCTCCATTTCTGATTCAGCTCTCTGCCATGGCCTGGGAAGTCCTTGGGCCCCTGTACCCGTGTGGGAGACCCAGAAGAAGCTCCTGGCTTCAGATCAGCGCAGCTCTGGCTGTTGCAGCCAATTGGGGGGTGAACCAGCAGGTGGAAGACCTCTCTAGGCCTCTCCTTTCTGTGTAATTCTGACTTTAAAATAAATAATAAAATAAATCTAAAAAAAATTAAATAGCATATGGGTCTCTAGTTAAAATAGAATATGACTTTGTATAAGATAAGCATCTGAATTGGAATTATTTTGGACAAGCTGCCAAAAAAATTTGTAGTGCAAATAGTAAAATGGAGGCGCGTCTGAAGTTGGATTTTATTGTGTGTGATGGTTAATTTTCTGTGTCAGCTGACTGGGCTAACGAATGCACAGATAGCTGAGAAAATGTTATTTCTGTGTGTGTCTGCGAAGGCGCTTCTGGAGGAGGTTAGCCTTTGCACCAGTCGATTGGGTAAAGAAGAACTGTCCCCCCCAACTTGAGCATCAGACATTCCATTGAGGGCTCACATAGAACAAAAAGATGGAGGAAGGGTGAATCCCCTCTCTGAGCTGGGGCATCCCTCTTCTCCTGTCTTTGGACATCAGCACTCCTGGTTCTTGGGCCTTTGGACCCAGACCAGGACTTAAACCATTGGCTTGTTGGTTCTGTTTCTCAGGAGTACCCTGACAGGTACATGGGGATAGCAATTTATTGATCTCTATGTCTCAGTGCATTGTTTATTATGAGCATGTTTGTATATTAGCATAAAACCGCCAGTGCTTTTGCAGTGTTGTTTTCAAACAACACAAGGACATCTCTGGAAAAGAAACAACAAAGAACAAAATTAATATTTTTAATATTAAGAACAAAATTAATATTTTCCAAACTGATGAATTTTCTTTCTTAAGAGAAATTTTCTTTTCCCAAGAGAAAACAACACAACTAGTCCAACATCACTGTTATCTATACTTCTTTGGTGAGACATGGCTATGAATCACTCTCTTGCCACAAAAGGTAAGCTAATGACACTCTTACGTGTAGAGAGAAAGCAAACATAAGTCCTGTATCTAGTGTCCATCTAGACTGTGGCAAAAATTCAACAGGACACAATGTGAAAGAGTCTGAGAATGTATAGGAAAAGGCTAAACTCAGCAATCCAAACAGAGGGCCTCTGTGACCCATGTGTGTGGCCTTTCGCTGAACACCACACAAGCAATTACTTCTGCAGCAGATACCAGCTGCGTGTTCTCCAGTTCAATTCAGTTCTGAGTCTGTCTACTTGGACACGGTGTCAGATCCCACAGGCCGAGAGCTCGGTCCCCAAGACTGCTCCCCTCTCTCAACTTCGAAAGCCAGCCCCAGCCCCAGATTGTCCCAGCTGTGCTTCTGAGCCACCGGCAGCACATCACGGCTCCCACAACCATTTCTTTGGCCCACAGAACCCCGGGAAACACGTTAAAGGACGCTGATGAACGCCAGAGCAAGAGATGAATAGGGGAAGGCGTGGGGGGAGGGATACAGAGGCTACAGGTGTAGTTCCCACCCCACCCACTGTCCCAGAACCTCCATGTGTTTAGCTAACCAGAAGCTCATCCAAACTCTGTCCTTTTGGGCATTTATGGAGGTGTCATTATGCAGGCACGATCGATCCAATCTCTGGCCTTGGTGAGCGCCTCTCCTGTCTCCTCTCCAGAGGTTAGGGGAGGTTGGGACTGACAACTGCCTTGGCCTTTCCTGTGACCAGCCCCCAGCTTGGAGCTGCCTGGGGACCGCCAAGCAGCAATCATCTCACTGTCTGATACTGACACTAAAACTCCAAAGAGTTTAGGAGTTATATACCAGAAAGCAGGCACAAAGACCCAAACGGCATTTCACAATATCAGAAAGCGTAACTGCTCTCATGTGTAGATCCTAGAAGCTATTTGCCTTCACGTGGAAGGGCACAGCTGAGTGTAAGCCAGGCTTCGGTATTGCTGAGCCACATGGATGAGGGGGAAGCAGACAATGATGTTTCATTCTATTCACCCCCGCAGACTCATGCTACAAAACAAGTATTTTTTATCTATAATAATTATTTTGTGAGAAAAATGTGCGTTGGCAGCAGTTCTGATGAAAATCTGGCCACATGTGAGAAGTGTGTTCCTGTAGGAAAAAGACATTGCACCTGCATGCCAATGTGCACATTGCTGTCCTCACAGGCAATGGGTTAGCAGACAACACACACCTGGACCTTGAGTCAGGGCTGAAGGTTGCAAACGAGATCGGGGTTTGACTGCTGAATGTCTCTACAGCGTGTTGCAAGAAGAAACGGGCAGGGAGCACAAGTCTTGCCTTTTTGTGTTGAAGGTGTGCTGCCTACCAGGGCATTCTGAATTTTCTTGAAATAGAGGAAGTGATTCATAGCATTTCTTTGTTGACACTCGTAATGCCTGCAGAGACGTTTCTCTATTTTCAAGTGGATTATCTCAGCTCTGTGTTCACATTCTTGTGTGGCCTGAGCCTGTTCCTGCATGACTGGCAAAGCTAAGGAAGCCACATCACAACATCTTTATACTCTTTTTCCTCTTAGCTGTCTGTTGTCAGCTTATTTGATAATCTAAAATTATTGAAACCTCAGAAGGGAAAAAGTAAATATAAAACGTCTCTGGGCATGGGCACGTGGCCTAGTGGTTAAGCCACCAGCTGGGATGCCTGCATTCCATAGTGGCGCACTTACAGTTGAGTCCTGGCTCCACTCCCAGCTTCCCAGCGATGCACACCCTGGGAGGCAGCAGGTGATGGCTCAAGGGATTGGGTCCCTGCCACCCACATGGGAGACCCAGATGGAGTTCCTGGCTCCTGTCTTCAGTCTAGGCCAGCTCTGGCTATTGTGGGCATTTTGGAGGTGAACCAGCAGGTAGGAGCTCTGTCTGTCTCTCAAATAAACAAAACCCAAAAACCTTCCCTCACCATGAGTAGCAGGAAGCAAGGGCCATGGGGGTTCTCTCAAGGGTAGCCTGCCTCGGTATCCACAAACTTCTATGGGTACAACACAATTCACATGCCTTGGCCAGTGCAGCTCTCTAGGGATTTTCCGTCTGGCCTGGCCTGCATTCTCAGTGCTCCGTCAGCAGTAGGCACAACTCATTGAGCTATGTTAGGTGTTGGACATGGGTACATGGTCTAAGTAAGTTAGATCCTGATTTAAAAGTCTGGTGTCCTCGGTTACATGTCTATTATACAGGCTATAAGTTTCCTGCTGTCACCTTGACCTGGCATAGCTCCTTGGTGGGACTGGTATTAAGCCTGTAACTGTTCTCTCCCATGACGGGAACAAAAGCTGCTATTACCAGTCCTGGGCTGACTATCTCTGGCTAGTTCTTAAGGATGTGCAAGAAAGTAGTTGGTATTTTTATTTAAGCCATTTCCAGATTGTTCTGAGATTCCTAATTGAATCTAATCCTGACTAACGATGTGGCTTTGTTTAAGTTCCAATCCTAAATGTATGCATATTCGATTGTAATCTCGCCGCAGCCTAGCTGCCCCACTACTTCCTACTGGACATACTTTCAGTAGGAGGTGTCACCTGGAAGAAACAGCAACACTGCCAGGTTCCTGCTGGTAATGAGAAAGGACCTAGAACGTGCTGACCGGCCTGCTGTGTCCAGAGTGGGCAGCAGCCTGCGGAGAGCTGGGTGCCCTGCTGAACCACGAAATGGGGCAAGGGCAGGGCACGGTCTGCTCCTTGGGGTTCTGGCAGGTAGCAGGGCCAGCAGGAGGCTGTGGGCCTCTGAACCAGCTTGACCTGTCATCGGCCCTGGATGCTGCCCAAGTCCAAAGGCCTGCCAGGTGCAAGACTTGTAGATCAAATTCCTTAGATCCACAGAGCCAGCAGGCACCTTTAAGAACAAGGAGTGGGTGTGAGCTGGGAGGAGGAAGTGCAGATAAAAGACAAGCGAAGCTGTTTTCTGGAAGCAGGCAGGGAAAGGATACAACAGGAAGTCTGTCTAAGGCACCAACGTGGACAGTGTTTGCGCTGTGAGTGCAGTGCCAGCCAGAGGCTTCTGGAAAACAAAGCCCGTGACTGTTTTCTTTTCATGACCTCCACTCCCAGTGTCAGTGACTTTCTCTGGCTGACGCCAGGGCCGTGCTCGGCTCCCCTCCTCGGCCTGCCCAGGGAGACGTCCATGGAGGCACTGTGAGGCAGTGAGAGCAGTGGAGAGCACAGAGTACCCTCCGTGTCTTGGGTCCAAAGTATCCCTGTCGTGAATGTGAAGTCCTGTGCAAGAATGCAGCTTAGGGAACAGGAGACTATCGGAAAAAATCAGCTTGGATACTTTCCCGAATGCTTCTGAATTAAACTTAGCTTTAATTTGAACACAAGCTAGGACTCACTCCATTACCGTCTGTTCTCCCTTGATCTATGCCTCTTGTTCCAAATCCATTTGCCAGTGTCTAGTTTTTAAAAATATATTCCCCCAAATTAGGCAGAGGGACACAGGTCTGGAGAGGTCAGGGTGAAGTGGAAGGGTGTGACCTACCTGGGAATCGAGATTCCCACACCGGGGTCCAGAGGTGTTATCTGTGGTTGTGGATGGAGAAATCAAGGTGTCCCCCAGCCAAGGAACTAGAAGTGCTGATAGGAGCTCAATGGGGAACAGTTGGGGAGGTAAAGGGGTTATGCTGTGAGCACACGACATCCTCATCTGAAAGCAGGAGATTGATTAAAACATCAAGAAGTGGTGGTATTGTTTTCAACAAATACTTACCAGGTGCCAGGCGCTGTTCTAGGCATTGAGGATACAGCCATAAAACAAACAAAGCAAAATCATTGTACTTGTAGTGATACATCTGCTGCTTAAAGACAGTACGGTCACTAACTGAATAAATAGGTAAGAGTTTAAAAGAGTTGCCTTGGGGAGCAGGTTTAGAACAAGGGAGGGCAGGAGAGATATAGGGCTAAGGTTTGGTTTTCTGACAAGCCCTGTTATTTGATTTTTCCAAAAGGGTTTTTTTTTTAAAGATTTATTTATTTATTTGAAAGGCAGAGTTACAGAGAGGCAGTGAGAGAGAGAGAGAGAGAGAGAGAGGTCTTCCATCCACTGGTTTACTTTCCAAATGATCGCAGTGGCTGCAGCTGGGCCAATCTGAAGCCAAGAGCTTCATCTGGGTCTCTGATGTGGGTACAAGGGCCCAAGAACTTGGGCCATTTTCCACTGCCTTTTCAGGCCACTAGCAAGGAGTTGGATCATAAGTGGAGCAGTCAGGGCGGGCGCCATGGTTCACTTGGCTAATCCTCCGCCTGTGGTGCTGGGATCCCATATGGGCACCGGGTTCTAGTCCTGGTTGCTCCTCTTCCAGTCCAGCTCTCTGCTGTGGCCTGGGAGGGCAGTGGAGGATGGCCCAGGCTCTTGGGCCCTGCACCTGCATGGGAGACCGGGAGGAAGCACCTGGCTCCTGGCTTCGGATTGGCACAGCACTGGCCATAGCTGCCATTGGAGGAGAGAACCAATGGCAGGAAGACCTTTCTCTCTGTCTCTCTCTCACTGTCTATAACTCTACCTGTCAAATAAAAAAAAATTTAAAAAGTGGAGCAGCCGGGACTCAAACTGGCACCCATTTGAGACTGGCATTGAAGGTGATGGCTTCACCCACTACGCTGCAGCACTGGCCCCCTAAAAGGTTTTGATTCAAATTATTAGCAAAATATTTCCCTGTTTACCAGGTGTATATCCTTAAACAGAGTGCTTAAATTCCTTGGCCTCAGTTCTTTCTTCTGGAAATTATGGGTAAGACTGTCTCCTGCAAAGAATATTTGTTGTAATAGTAGCATGAAGTAGGCATGCAAATATCAGTCACCTCCTTAGGTCTCCCATGTAATATAATTTTTATTTTTAAAAATTTTAAAAAGATTTATTTATTTGAAAGGCACAGTTATGGGGGCAGGAAGAGAGAGATGTAGAGACAGAGAGAGAGGTCTTCCATCCACTGGTTCACTCCCCAGATGGCCACAAGGCAGGGGCTGGGCGACAGAAGCCAGGAGCCAGGAGCTTTAGCCAGGTCTCCCACATGGATGGCAGGGGCACAAACACTTGAGTCATCTTGTGCTGCTTTCCCAGGCTCATTAACAGGGAGCTGGATCATAGGTGGAGCAGCTGGAACTCAAACTGTTCCCACACGGGACACCTGCATTGCAGGTGGCAGCTTTACCCACTATGCCCCAGCACCGGCCCCTCCAGTGTAATATTTCACAGCTCAAGATTTTCAGGCCAAGAAGTAACATTCATTGTTGGATCTGACCCAAGCAGGTCACATGACTTCTTTGCCTGTTTCTACCCTGGTAGAAGATGCTCAAGTTTCTTCCCGTGCTAGAGTAACAGGGAGTATGTCGATAAGAACTCCAGAGTGTTGAGTTGTTGAGTTTCCTATGAGAACATAATGGGGAAGGTATGTGGCCCAGTGGCTAAGACTGCAGCCCACATCAGCACGGGTTTGATACCTAGCTCTGGCTCCTGACTCCAGCTTCCTGTTACTGAAGACCCTGGGATACAGAAATGAAGGCTCTGGTAACTGGGTTCCTACCACCCACATAGGAGACCTGGATTGGATTCCTGGCTTCAGCCTGGCTATCCCTGTTCATTGTGGACACTGGGTAGTGAGCCAACATATGGGAGCTATTTCTTTCTTTGCATAAAAAAAAAAAAACCCACACACTCAAATCTTAACAGGGTTTCCATTTGGATGACACTGCCCTGTTGTTGATAGCATCTTCGCTGCTCAATTGTGGACAGGCAGGGTAACCTGCTGTTCAACTGTAGTATTGCTTCAGAAGGTTTCACAGTTGGTTACTTAACCCCTGAGTCATCGAAAGCCTCATGATGTAAGGGAGGGAACAATTGTGAATTCAAGAGAGAGATCACTCTGGGACCAGGATGTGATTAGGAAAGAAATACTAAAGATGTCAGCATGACCGAGCAAGGAGTTCTGCTGAAATCCAAGCTGGCCTCAGAGAGGAAATGGTACACGTGTGCTTCCTTGTGCGTTTATGCACACAAATACACAGGAAGAGAGCTGGCAGGGCGTGTGTGCAGTGCAGGCAATGAATTGGTGGTAAATGTTTCACAGCCAGTCGTGGAGAGGAGAGCCCTGATTTTTAGTGATTGACAGTTTCAATGGTATAAATGTTCCTAGCATGGCTGCCTGCAAGCTACCAAGTTGAGATCAATGAATGCAGAATTGGGAAGAGATACACGGAGCTACGTCTCACCAGTCAGAACCCACAGGTTTCCAGCAACGCTCGCTTTCAGAAAACCTCACAGCTTCTCACACTCAACTGCATCTAAGGCTGTGGATCCCAGAATCCATCCCTCTCTCCCAAACATAAGCGTTCATTGCACCCTGATCCTCTACCCCTGTGTCAAGTTCATCACTCACCACAACCCACAGCAGTTCTGGAACTGTAGCTGTCCCTGCTCTCCCAAGTCTACACAATGGTTGGCAAGACCACTTGTTTATTCAGAAAGTACCAACAGGATGCCACAGGCTTGTCAGGGAGCCGCACTGTGCCTACAGGTTTGGCAAACACTTACCAAAAGAAAGTGCTGAGCTGGCAAGGAGAGGAGGGGAGGGGATGAGAGGAAGGGGGAGAAGGAGGGGAAGGAAAGGCAGGAGGGGAGGGAAGAGGAGGAGAGACCCTCACCTTTGTTGGCCCTGGAGCACCTGTGCCCTTTGGCAGGCAAGTGGCTGCCTGGTTCTTTGGCACTTGAGTGTCTCTCTTCCTCATCCTACAGGAAACCCTCTCTTATTAGCCTCCAGGGAGGGTTTCCTTTTGAAAACACCACCCTCAGATTCTTCTCCTCTGGAATCCTATGTCCTGGAGCCAGGCGGGGCCAGATCCACACGGGGCTTCGGCTTGGGGGCTTCAGAGTTTATGTCCTGGAGGGCGGGCAGAACTTCTTTAAGGAAAAGAACACAACATTACAATTACAATGTGACCTGGACCAGGGCCTTTAGAAGGGGCTTCTGCAGAGGGTCCCTGAATCTGAAGCTTTATTTGCTTCCAGTAAACACACCCCTGGAGTCAGACTACACTCGGAAGGAAATTGGTTGTTTGCCTAGCAACAGTGGAACGTCCTGTGTGTGTGTGTGTGTGTTTTCTTTTGGATGAGGAAGAAGCTTTAGAATCCTGTTCCCACTTAAGAGTTCTGCTTTCAAGACTGATGATGGAGGACATTATCCACCTGCTTGTGAAGAAGCCATTTAATTCCCCATCCGTCCTGCAGGACCGTGTGGTATGGAACAGACCAGCTATGCCGGGAAAGCTGCTCCAAGAGAACCTTCTTAGCCCTAGAAAGCCTGACACCAGACTCACTGCAGACGACAAGGGACCTCTAGTGGCAATAGTGAAGGCCACATCACTGCCACCTCCTTCCTGGTCTCTGAAAGCTTACCTAACCGCCATTAACTCCAGGCCAGCTGTTCCTGCAGTTGGAGGAAGCTGAGGATACAAAAACCCACTGACGGTTTCCCACTCGCTATCAGTGTGGAGGCAGGGACTTTGCGGCATGGGGCATAGGTTCCAGAAGCTCGCACACTCGGGTTACCATCTTTATCATCCTCACCCCCAGGCCCATAAGCCTTGGTGGCCCCACCTGTAAATCAGTGACAATCGCAGGCATCTGCTGGATGGGAGGATGAGTGACAGAACCTGGTGATGGGGACTCAGAGTTCTCTTACTCCTCCCAGCCAATCAAAAATCCATCATGGCAAAGACAGAAGGAGCCTGGAGGGTAGATCCGAGGGAGTTCTGTTTTTGATGTAGGTGGGTTGTGGAGGGTAGGATAACATTTTAGTATGTTCAGGTTAAGAGACCATCTTCCCAGGAACATACCTGGATGTATCTTTAGGTGCTTGCACACACAAACGCACACATTTTCGTCAACAATTTCAGCAATTTCTCAGGCAGTTTAAAGATCATCCACAGTGGTTCAAGAAGCCAAATTAAGAAACTCTAAATTTGGACATTTAGAAAAGGGCATTTGCTGTGTGGCAGCCAGGAATCTTCAGTGGATCCTGATCCCTGTTCTGCCACTAAACAGCTGTTTCCCTTTGGACAAATCGCCTTTTCCTTTCTGAACTTCATTTTCTCACCTGTTCTAAAAAGCAAGGGTTGGGGCCGGTGCTGTGGAGTAGTGAACAGGGCCGCTGCTTGCAGTGCTGGCATCCCACATGGGCGCTGGTTTGAGTCCCAGCTGCTCCACTTCTGATCCCGCTCTCTGCTATGGCCTGGGAAAGCAAAAGAAGACGGCCCAAATCTTAGGACCCCTGTACCCACATGGGAGACTGGAATGAAACTCCTGGCTCCAGCCTAGCCCAGCCCTGGCCATGGCAGCCACTTGGGAGTGAACCAGCAGATGGAAGATCTCTCTCTCTCTCTCTCTCCCCTTCTTCCTGCCACCCGCTCCCCTGAACTCTGCCTTTCAAATAAATAAATCTTGAAAAAGCAAATAAAAAGCAAGGGTTAGATAGATGGAGAACTGCCAAATGCAAGACAGGATGCCTGGTTAAATTTGAATTTCAGAGAAACAAGGCTTTTTTTTCTTTAACATGAGTATATTCCAAACCCTGACTTTGTCATGAACTATAGTTAGCACAGGACATACTTATATTAAGAAGGATTCATTATTTAGCTGAACTTCACACCGGATGGCCTGTATTTCTATTGCTTACACCTGGCAACCCTTTCAGATCTTGAGGTCTAAGATTTCTGGTGGTGGAGGAACCCTAACATCAGGAGATTGGAAGTTAGAGAATCACTGAAGCTATTTAAGGCAGACACTCTGAGGTCCCGTGAGCAACTTTAGTTGGTTTGGATGATGCTGTTTTGAATTCCGGATTGAAACAGCAAAACACCTGGAATTTATCTCCAAGTGGGCATCCTGCCCGTTTCTCCCTTAGGCCAAAGTTTCTTAAGTGCCCACCATGCACTTGGCACTGAGCTGGATTCTTCCCCTTAGCAGAAGGCTTTCACCTTCATCACCTTGGCCAATGCGTGGTTCTGTAGTCTGAGGTTTACAAAGGGAGATCACCACCCACTGTCAGAGTTACTTGGAAGGACTGCTGCTGTTGTTTGAAGATTTACTTATTTGAAAGGCAGAATGGCAGACAGAAGGAGAGACAGAGATCTTTCATCTGCTGTACACTTTGAAAACACCTACAATAGCCAGGACTGGGTCAGGCTGAAGCCAGGAGCCCAGAACTCCATTAGGGTCTCCCACATGAGTGACAGGGACCCATGTCCTTGGGCCATCATCTGCTGCCTTCCCAGGTACGTTAGCAGGGAGCTGGATCAGAAGTGGAAGAGCCAGTGCTTAAACCAGCGCTCTGATAAATGATGTAGGTGTCCCAAGCAGTGGCTTAACCGTCTGCGCCACAGCACCCAACCCAGGAGGCTTGGTAAAGACGAGCTTTCTGAGTCTCCTCAGACCCGATGAAAAAAAAGTGCCCGGAGACTCCCCGATGTGAGTCACAGCCTTCTGTTACTTTCCCAGAAGCGCCTGGGCATGGACGATGTGCAGCAGATGGGTCTGTATCCCCCAGGAATTTTCAGACTCAAGGCTGCCTCTCTTCTCTTCTTCTGGGCCCAAGCTACTTGTGGACGCTTTGGAATGTTGGACTCTTGGTAATATGGCATCCAACCAGCCAAACTAATTGGGCTTAATGGTTAACTTCATAGGATGAAATACTTAAGGGAAAATTGTGGGGAGCAGCTCGGACTAGACTAAGTTACTGGAATTAAGACTTATTCTATGCATCTGCTCTCCTCTGTGGGGAGCAGCTCGGACTAGACTAAGTTACTGGAATTAAGACTTATTCTATGCATCTGCTCTCCCACAATATGGCGCTGGGAGAGAAGTAAACAGCTTCCGCACAGCTGCCTCCGGTTCAACCAATAAACTGTAGGACCTGCTCCTGATTGGAGAGCAGCGTACTCGGCGTGTGGGCAGCCGAGTTGGGATTGGCGGAGGAGGACTATAAAGGAGGAGAGAGACGGCATGCACCAGGAACATCTATGGGGAACATCTAAGGGAACCCGTGCAACCCCCGAGAAAGCCGGCCGGCGGTGTGCCGCTCCCCTGCGGAAGTGGGGAATGCGGCCAGGGGGAACTGCCCTTCCACGGAGGTGGAAGGGATAGTAGCCAACCCGGGAAAAACCAGCAGCAAACCCGGGGAGGGCCGAGCAGACGAAAGAACAGCGCAGGGTCCTGTGTCGTTCCTCCACGAAGAGGGGGAGCGACATAATGGTGCCGTGACTCGGATATGAAGCCTAGGCAGGGTTTAGTGTCGTTCCCCCATGAAGACGGGGAGCGACAGAAAATGATTTCTCAGCTGGGGAAGGAAGAAGGTTCCAGGGATTGGCAGGACCTTGGACAAGTCACATCACTTCCTTGACTCTCCAGAGGAGGTGCCATTGCACCATTTCCATGTGAAATCTCTCCCTGCATCTGAGGGCACTCTTCAGGGTTCCTGACCATCATGTTTATCTTTCCACTCTAGAAGGTAAAGACCCATGAAGGCCAGGAGGTTTACTCATCTAGATATCTCCCAGGGTACCCACTTAACCTGGAAACCAGGGCGCATCATTCACTATGTAGACCTTATAGCTTTGTGTAGTTATTACAATAAGTGTCCACAGATGGCAGTAGAGTGACTTGACAAGCCATCTTTTCCTAATTCAAGACAAGGGCACTGTATGGCTTGGAAGGAACTGGTATCCCCAGTACTTGCAATATTTAGCACATAGTAGATACTCAATAAACACTTACCAACTACATTTTAGCCATTAACAATATAAAATATTAAAATAATAATACAATTAAGATCTCTATATCCCTATCTAGATTGAGTAAATGTTAACATTTGCTGTATTTGTGTGTGTGTGTGTGCGCGCGCTTTATTTTTGCTGAATCTTTTGAAAGTTACTTATGATCAATGAGACACTTAACCCCCAAATATTTCAGCAGGCATCCTCCAAGAATGAGGACACTCCCTTCCATAACTACAATACCTAAAGACAATTAACCATTACTTCCTAATATCATCTAATATCCAGTAATAGCACTTGCTGTCTGTGCCCTGCCCACATCCCCTTGGCCTACATAGAAGTTACCAGCAAACAGTTGCTATAAAGCAGGTGATTTCCTGAGTGTCTTTGCCTGGTCGATCTTAGCCAGCCTGAGAGAGCTGATTGTGAGGAGCATTCCACAGAACTTGCCAGAGGGGCCAGTCCGCAGCAACAGCTGCCCACAGCAGAGACCTGTTCATTAACGCATTCTTCATTAGTTTCCTCCCTTCCCAATCCTGCCTCCTTGTTGTGGTTCCAGGGATCACCTTTAAATAAGTTTTGTCTCAAGATCTGCTTTGCAGGGACTTGGAACCAAGACATGAATGCATTGATCAATCCATTCAGAAATAGTAACAGTAAAGCACATTGATCTCAGACCCATAGGGGAGTAAACTCACAATCTATTTTGCAGATGTTTCGATCCAGCCAATAGGAGCTGCTCTTACTTATGATTCTTACTTGAACAATGTTATGCCTGCCCAGCCTATATTAATAGTAACAGCTATTGCTTATTAAGAGCTGCCTGTGTGCAGCTTCCATGCTTCATTTCACCCTCACAATGACTCTTTGGGGAGGGTGCTATTATTGTTCCATTGTATTGATGAAGCAGTTGATGCTCATAGAGGTTAAACAACTTTTCAGCCACTTAGCTGGTAAGAGGCAGATCTCTTGCTGTGCCTAACTGTGGGGAGCAACTCGGACTAGACTAAGTTACTCGAATTAAGACTTATTCTATGCATCTGCTCTCCCACAATATGGCGCTGGGAGAGGAGAAAACAGCTTCTACTCAGCTGCCTCCAGTTCAACCAATAAACTGTAGGACCTGCTCCTGATTGGAGGAGAGCAGCGTACTCGGCGTGTGGGTAGCAGAGTTGGGATTGGTGGAAGAGGACTATAAAGGAGGAGAGAGACAACATGCACCAGGAACATCTGAGGGAACATCTATCTGAAGGAAC